CCATGGCATTAAAGACCCTTCATATCTGGTCACTGCCTAACTTTCTAACCTCATACCCTGGAGTACCCCCTCCCAGACATGAACACATTCACAGCTCCTTCATGGATGCTTCCAGCCAGTTCTCTGACAGCACCATACTTGCTCTCGCCTCTGCTCCTGCCCAAGCTGCTTCCTCTACCTGGAATACCCATCCTGTGTCTCCAGGGTAACTGACGTGTCAGTTCTCCAAGGAGCCTTCCCTCAACCCTGCACATCCCTCTCCCACACCACCCCATCAACTGCGACTACAGAGAGACCTCTGAGAGCCAGAACTCAGTGGGACAGCCGTCTTTTTCAAGGTCTTGCATGCTCTCCACCTTTGACAGAGTGCAGTCTTAACCACTTTTCTGTCACTCATTTTAGTGGAGCATTTTTGAGTTTTCCTTCTCTGACAAGTTCCTGACTTATACAGGTCCCAGCTTTCACAGGCTTTATACTGTTTGTTTACTTGTTTATCCCACCTGCCTGCATGTGTCCTAATATTAGAAATATGTCTATTGTATATTGGTAAGGCCTGGCACATGTTTTGCACTCAGCACTTACACAGTGCAATGAAATGTGTGTTGATTTTAGGTTCTGAAAATATTGTCTCCATATTGTCATACTGCTGGATTTTATTTGCTTTAAATTCATAGGCAGTGTGATGACCACAAATCGTATTTTCTTGGAAAAATTGAAATAGCTATCCATTTTTTTAATTTGATGTGTCAGTTGTAGAATTAATGCTGAAGTCACTGTCTTAAGGGGACACCAAGTTTTGCCTTGCAGACATAAATGCTCACCAGCAGTCCCCTGCCTGAAGTGGCTGAGAATTCATTTCTGCTTCTTCTACAGGGTCCTATTTTCCTCTAGTCACATCAGCCTAAGGCAGATTAAATGATCTGCACATGTCTTGGGCCTGCAGGTTCTCCATAACCCCTTCTAGAAATCAGAGTTCGAAGGGAATTGGCCTTTAGAATTCCCAGTTTGTTCCCTCCATTCTCTAAGGGCTGCTAACACACAGACAAACTTGCAGGACCTAACCCAAAGCAGGGAAAAGCCGTTAGCATTACCCAGGTGGGAAGGGAAGTTTCTGTGGCCCACCTTTCTAGGCATGGTGTTTATCTTTATTTACCTGGCACTCTCCCTGGGGATAGTCTGCCTCATGAAGATATTCAGGGGATACCTTTGAAATTCAGTTTGAAATTCAGAAACACAGGCAGTGAGAAGGATGACCAGTCTCCGAGGTGGTGGCAGTGGTGTGTGCTGTCAAATCGGGTCCGACTCATAGTGACCCTGTATGGGGTTTCCAGGGCAGTGAATCTTTACAGGAACAGAAAGCCTCAGCTTTCTCCTGCAGAGCAGCTGATGGCTTTGAACTGATTGAATCTTTAGTCATCTGGTCCTGCCTTTAAAACCCTTAACCATCTATAAGCAGAAGGACATGTCTTTACCTCTAAATAGCTGGAAAAATTGTTTTCTTCTTTTGTGTACATTAAAGAAAAAGCATCATTATAGCAGACTCATTTTTGAGAGAGTCTTCCCTCTCACAGAAAATAGTGTCATATTTTTTGTGCGTTAACGTCCAGTCTCCAGGGAGCAGAAAAGCTGATTGACGTTATCTGTCTCAAAAGTCTGTATTTTTTATGGCCACCACTAAATCTCCTGGACACAGCATCTTCTCCAGACATAATAAACTCAGTTCTTTATCTTTTTTTGTATATATTGCATTTTCCAGTTTTTCGTGTCTGTTATGACCGACCTCGAGTAAATTATAGTACTAGACACTGAAACGTGCTAGAGAGGAGACAGTAGATAAAATACTTCTGGAGTGATTTAGAACTTAGAATCTCTTCTGAATTCACAGAGAAACATAAACATGTGACATATATTTTGATGCATAGAAACCTAAAGCAAATATCTAGCTAACTTTAGCTGTATGCATTAATGTTGAAGGAAAATTAGAATAACTAATGAGGAAAATAATGTTGGAAAGAAAGAAGGACCGAGTCTACTAAGGAGAAACTAAAAACCCTCCTTGGTGCTCATCAGTTGTGTTCATTAATCAAAATCTGTCTCCAGCACTTAATGCAAGACCTGGCTTCTTGGAGGTCCTCGATAGTCTCTGGGTTACTGCGCTGGACTGCAAAGTCGTTTGAACTGCAAGGTTGGTGGTTAAAGCTCACCAGCTGCTCCTCGGAAACCCCATACAGGGTCGCTATGGGTCGGAACTGACTTGACACTTGACGGCACTTCACAACAACAAATAGTCTCTGGTAGCATAATGGTTACAAATTGGGCTGCTAACCTCAAGATCAGCAGTTCGAAATTACCAGCTCTTCTGCGGGAGAAAGATGAGGCTTTCTGCTTCCGTAAAGATTTACAGGAAAAACCCTGTGCATGGTCACTATGAGTAGGAACCGACTCCACGGTACTTAACAACTACAACATAGTGTCTGTAGATGGGATGACTGGCTAGACATAGTACTCCTATAAGGATATAGCAGTAGGATTTGGAGATGTTTGTCAATAATTCCAATATCTTGTATACTCCCAGTCATAGAATTTTAAAGTAGAAAGAACTTTGAGTAAAATATTATAAATATGCACTTTCTACCTTCCAGTAAAAGGAGCTCTGGTAGCATAGTGGTTACAAGTCAGGTTGATAACCTCAAGGTCAGCAGTTTGAAACTACCAGCAGTTCTGCAAGAGAAAGATGAGGCTTTCTGCTCCCGTGAAGATTTACCGCCTTGGAAACCCTATGCAGGGTCGCTGTGAGTCAGAACCGACTCCACGGCACATAACCACCACCACCACTTTCCAGTAAAGCTCCAAAATAGTATATGGCTACCCCAGTCCTGCATTGGGGAAGGACTTTGCCTGATTGGTTTACTGCTCTTTCTTCAGAGTTCCTAGCTCACCAATTAACCTTTTGCCAATGAATCCATTCTGACAGCTGGTGATCCTTGTATGGCAGAGTAGAACTATGCTCCTTAAGGTTTTCAATGGCTGCTTTGTTTCCAAAGTACATCACCAGGCCTTTCTTCTGTGGCCCCTATGCACATAGAGACACCATCAACCTTTCGATTAGCAACTGAGCATATTAAGCATTTTGACTATGCGGGATCTGGCACACATGTGTGTTTAATCAGTACTGAATGAACTGCAGAGTGATGAATGATCAATTCCCAACTGAGCTAGATATTAGGCTAGTGATTCTAAACTTTGGCTGTACCATTGTTAAATGCTGTCTTTTTACAATGTTAAGTGTCCTTTTCCAGCAGAGTAACTGGTTTGAATTGTTGGCCTTTCATTTAGCAGCTGAGTGCTTAATCTCTGTGCCACCAGGGCTGCTTGTCCATAACCAGTTGTTTTTTCTTATTCACTTATTGCCATCTGCCCAGATGCTGTGAATAGATGTTAGTCTCTGTTGGGTAGTCCCTCACCAGAAGTTTCATCACTGTACATGTAGGAGGATAGTTCATTCATGTGACATTCAGCACCCCTGCTCCCATTAACGAGAGCCAGAGGAGCCTCTAGAAGACATAGGCTGCCACTCCAATCAATTTTCTCCACTCCATAATCTATTAATTTACACATAAAGTCAGGAAAGAGATTCAGAGACATTGAGTTCATTCACCATCATTCTGCATTGAAGAAACTGAAGTCAGATGGATTTGGGAACTTTCCCAAGATCACAGCTTGTTAGAGACACAGATAGGAAACCTAGTGTGCCAACTCTCAGGCTGCACCACTCAGCCATGACACTTCTAACAGTTCAGATCTCATGTTGTTGTTGTTGTTGTTGTTAGGTGCTGTCAATTTGGTTCTGACTCATGCATAGCTACCCACTGCACAACAGAACAAAATACTGCCTGGTCCCAGGCCATCCTCATAATTGTTCTCATCAAACATTTCCTTCTATCTTGATATCTGAGGTAGGAAGAAAAATATCTGAGAAAAGGGTACTGTCAGGAGTTGTGGCAAGGAGGAATTCTTGAATGAGACCTAGTATGTGTTGTACATCAAGTGTCAATCCTATGCCCACTATAAACAGGGTCGATAGGGACGGGCAACTTAGACATTGGCTTCCTAAAATGGGAGGGCTATAAAGGCACAAAGGAGCTCTGGTAGCGTAGTGGTTACGAATCGGGCTGCGAACCTTAAGGTCAGCGGTTCGAAACTACCAGCTGTTCCGTGGGAGAAAGATGAGGCTTTCTACTCCCGTAAGGATTTACACCCTCAGAAACCCTGTACAGGGTCGCTATGGGTCGGAACCGACTCAACGGCACTTAACAACAACAACATAAAGGCACAAAGTGACTGGCTTACAAGTTTTCAAGAGGGAGTTTAGTTTCAGAGTGTGTGGGTGAAGGTAGAATCCCCACTGAATAGTTTTCATCTTGTCTAGGTGGGTAGAGCGAAAGGAGATGGGGATAAGATGCTTATGATTCAGTAGTAAGTAATTGTTATCATGACTAATTGAGACCATCACAACTGTAAAAGAATTTTTGTAACATAAAAGGGAGAGTAATTAATCTTACAGTGCAGGAACAGAGGACCCTAAGACCATCAAGAGAAAAGAGCATGAGCAGAATGTGGGACCCTATCTGGAGAACAAAGGACACCAGAGATGGAGGCAGAGATGAGGACATGGAGAGATAGAGTAGCTGGAAGTCTAGACTCATGGAAAGAGAAAGACTTGCAGACTGTGCCTGTTGGTTGTTTAAATGATTATATATTCCTGAGTGCTTCTGTGGTAAAAAAAAAAAAAAAAAAGCCAGAGGGAATCAAAGCAAACTGTTGAATGACGATACATTGAGGGATTGTAATCACTGCAATGAAATGAAATATAATACGATGAGTGTAAAACCGATGTTCTCCCATGTAAACTATCACTCAATTCACAATAAAAACTTTTTATTTTGAAGTACGTGTTGTGGCAGCCTCACAGTTTACTTGTGTTCTGCCCTTATTTTCAGAATTTTCCCCAGAGAGTACCTCCTTCAACACATCCACCTGTATTCCCTTGCTGACCTGCAGCAGGTAAGATTTGGAGAGTCCCTTTCATTTCTGTTTCTCCCCTAGAAAAGTGTCTTTGCTGATTTTGTTTTGGGTACTTGTATTCTGCCATCTTAATGGCAGTTTTTACCACCAGCCATGATACTCAATTTCTATATAGAATGGAAAACAAATTGGTAAAAAGACATTATAGGACAATAATTAATGTTGCAAGCATTACATGGCTGTAAAATAACTCAGATGTTGTGGAAAACAGTTTGGCAGTCCTCAACAAGTTAAACATAGAATTACCATTTTAAAAATAAATAAATAAAAATCCACCTGTTGTCAAATTAACTCTGTCTTATAGTCACCTTCTATAGGGTTTCTGAGACTGTTAATCTTTATAGGAGCAGAAAGCCTCATCATTCTACTGAGAAACAGTTGGTGGATTTGAACTGTTGACCTTTACATTTCCTTGACATTTACCAGTGTTGTTGTTAAGTGCTATCAAGTTGGTTCCAATTCATAACAATCCTGTGTAGGGTTTCCAAAAGTGGTTTGAACCACCAGCCTTGTGATTAGCAATCCATTGCTGATCCTTCAGTGCCACACCAGGACTCCAGAATTACCATTGTTGTTGTTACGTACCATCGAGTTGGTTTCAATCCGTAGTGGCCCTGTATGGGTCTGAGGAGAAGCTGATGAGCTTGAACTGCCAACCTTGCAGTTCATATCACTTTACAGTCTGGTGCATTAACCCACAGGACTCCAGGACTGCAGCATTACCCAGCAAACCCACATCTAGGTATATACGCAAAAGAAAACATTCTTCCATGCAAAAACTTCTACACAGACTTTCACAGTGGCATTATTCATAAAACATGAAAAAGTGCAAACAACCCAAATGTGTATAACCGATGAATGGATAGATTGTATCCATACAGTGAAGTATTATTTGGCTTTTAAAAGGAAGGAAATGAATGATAGAATGTGGATGAACCTTGAAAGTACCATGCTAAGTGAAAGAAGCCTGTCACAAAAGACTGTATATTGTATGATTCTGTTCACATGAAATATCCCAAATAGGCAAATTCATAGAGACAATAAGTAATTTCATTACTACATGGACCTGAGGATCGCTGAGGAATGAGCAGTGACTGCTAATAGGCATGGTGTTTATTTTTGGAGGAATGCAAATGTTAGATAATGGTGATGTTTGCAAAACTTTGTTAATATACTAAAAAAAAAAATGAGCCCACCGAATTGTATACTTTAAAAGATGAATTTTGTTATGTGAACTATATCTCAGTACAAATACTGTGTGAGAAAAACTATATGTAAAAGGCAGTGGGCAGGGGGTGGGGTCAGGGGAGGGAGGGGAAGGTGGAGCACAGGGCAGGGAATAGACACAGGATAGTTTGGGTGCTAGGCGGGGACAATACACAAGAAGGGGAAGGGGAATGGAAGAACAAAGCAGATGGGAAAATAATTAGGCACGTTTGCATGGGCTAAGTGGGACAGACATAAATAATAATGTATGCACAACCCTGAAACAACAGGACTCTGGTATACAGGGATTGAGACATAGTTGGAATGGGCAAAAGGCTGGAAATAATGTTAAGATGCTTGGCTGTCTTTTGAAT